AGCCGGCCTGGTCTACAGGTGAATTACAGGGTAGACAGGATTCTGTTACATAGACAAACCCTGTCTCAAAAAAAAAAAACAAAAAACCAACAACAACAAAAAAACCCAAACCAGGCCAAAGATGCCACCAGGTGGGCTCTGGAGGGACTATTGATGGGCACTTGCCAAGCTGGGTGATGTTCTTGGAGACACCTCAGCCCTTCTGCTTCTTGTCTGTGAGGTCCAGACACTTGTCTGCAAGCATCAGCTATGTAGGAAGGAGCCACAGGAACTGCTTAGAGCTGTAACATCAGCACTTGGGTGGGTGAGGCAGGATGATTGTCAAGTTCAAGACCCTGTCTCAAAGAAAACTCCATTCTTGTCTATATTTAATATACGATTTTGCTACTCATACATTATAGTTTAACTTAGCTTTTGTTAAATAGAAGTTTGTAAAAGATGTAGGTTCTTATTTTATAAACAGAGGAAAATGTATTTTCTCTTTTTGAGACAGGGTCTCATTGTGTAGACGAGGCTAGCCTTGGAATCACAAGCATCTACTTCCTCTGTCTTCTGAGTGCTGAGATTGAAGGTGTGTGTCACCACACGTGGCCAGAACATGTCCTTACTCACGTTGCCCTTAGTGTACCCTTCTTTGGTGGAACCCCGTTCTGATGTGTACATACTGAACAGACTCACCTCAAGTTTTAATTTTGTTTTTGTGTGTGTTCATGTACATGCAAATACATCTGGAGGCCAGAGGTCAACCTCTGGTGTCATTCACGAAGCATTGACACCTAGTGTTTTGAAACAGGCTGTCTCATGTCCTGGATCTTAAGTAAGCTTAGACTGGCCGGCCAGCCCACCCCGGGAATGCCCCCGTGTCTTCTTCCTCAGTGCTGCAATTAAAAGGAGGAGCCACCTCGCCCAGCTTTTACTCGGATAACAGGGGCTAAACACAGGTCATCCTGCTGGTACGACAGATACTTTACGGACTGAGCGGTCCTCCCAATCCTACCTCTTGTTTTCTAATCTTTGGAACATGGTGCCGCTTATGGCGAGATACATGGAGCATTGCGGGGCCTGAGTGTGGTGTCAGTCCACAGAGAAGCTCCTTACAAACTGCTGCAGCAACTTCACAGTTTCCAGCTCCAGTCCCTGGGCTTGCAGACTTCTACTCTCCTCCTTCAACAGACAGAGGAGGAGCAGGACAGGTGACCAGCCTGTCCATTGGGTGGTCATGTGAGGAAGGTAGGTCTGGAATCCAGGTCCTGCTGGGTCACACTCTCCCTGCTTCTTGCTCTCCTTTCCCTAGTTTGTCAACATTAAGGGCCAGCCTCCCCTGCGTCAGGCCATTACTAGACCAAACTGTGATCCTGTACCTGTTCCTAGTTTCATTTTCTCTTATTCCAGCTTCTTTGGGCAAATCTGCAGGCTGTTCAGTGCTGTGATGGGCTCAGTGCCCTCCTTCATGTCAGCTCCCAGCCCTCCTCAGTGCACATCTAGTTTTAAATGTCTGTTTCTGCTTCCCTGCTGTGAGAGAGTGGGGGGTGGTGGGCCTTTCAAGAGGAACTGCTTGGGGGCCCGTGCAGCTGCTCTGTCAGAATACAGGAAGCCCTTCCTGAGCGCTTCCTACGCCAGGGCACTGTTGGCCCATCCGGCGCAATGCAGGAAGAGAGAAGCCAAGCTGTGCTGTTTGGTTTTCTTGCAAGGGGTCTGAATGCAGCAGACAGCTCTAGGGGTGAGAGTGGGGGTGGGTTGAGCAAAGCTGACTATCCAGGCAGAGGGAAGCAGGCAGCTGGAAGGAAGCAGGCTTGCTACATGACTCACTATTTTTATCCTGAGATACACTTTTCACACCTGTGGAATGGTGCTGATAATAGGTGGTCCCCTGCAGGTATAAGTTCCATTTCAAAGATACAGATATTCTGTCACATGCCCAGGGCCCATGTGAGCAGCTGAACTTGGGTCAAAACTCATAGTCACTTGATTCTTCCACCTGGGCTCTTCGGTGTCCAAAGTATGTCAAGAAGATAAGGGCATACAACCTATGGTTGCCTTGGCTGGGGTTTTTCATTTGAGTGTTTTCCTGTCTCATCTGCATCACCCACGTTTCCCTGTTTCATTTGTTAAAAAGAATAATCAAAGCTGCCTTCAAGCACATGAATTTTAGATGTCATCGTAAGTCTATGAAGAGGACTGCTTCAGCAAGCTATTGCTGTGCAATGAACTACCTCAGAGTCTGGGGGCTTAAAATAATTTATATCTTATTTGCTCACTGTTGTGCTGTAGATGAAAATGGCCTCCAAAGGCTCATATAGTTGAATGCTTAGTCATTAGTTGGTTGAATTGTTTGGGAAGGATTAGGAGGTGTGGCCTTGTTAGAACTGTGTCATTGGGGACAGCATCACTCTGTTAGCTCTCTCTCTCCCTTCTGCACGTGGATCAAGAGGTAAGCTCTCAGCTAATGCTCTATCATCATGTTCCTTGGCATGATGGTCACGGACTCTAACCCTCTGGAACTGGAGGCCCCATTGCCACCCTTTATAAGTTGCCCTGCTCATGGTGTTTTCACAAAGCAACTAAGACACAATTTGGAGGTTTGGACTGGATTCAGCTGGACATTACTTCACTGGTCTCTGAAGACCCCACATGATGGATATTGGCTAACCAAATGGCTGGGGTTGGTTACTCCGCACAGCCTCACTCACAAGCCTGGCGGCTAGCAGCTTGTTGTCAGGAGGCTAGCTGTGGCCCCTTTGGCAGGGTTAAGAAGGTTGCATGGCCTGTGATCTGTACTATATCACCCATGATGCATCTTATTGGTCAAAGCAAATGGTGAGATCTGTTCAGATTCAAGGCATGAAAACTGGATTCTGCCTGGGAGGCCTGTCAAAGACTTGGTGGTCCCTTTTAGTCTATCGCAGAGTGCTATCTGTCCTCAGGGACACTTTTTTTTTTTTTTTTTTTTTGGTTTTTCGAGACAGGGTTTCTCTGTATTGTTTTGGAGGCTGTCCTGGAACTCACTCTGTAGACCAGGCTGGTCTCAAACTCACAGAGATCCGCCTGCCTCTGCCTCTGCCTCCTGAGTGCTGGGATTAAAGGCGTGCGCCACCAATGCCCAGCCCTCACAGACACTTTTGATGCTTACTCTTCTGTGTCATCACTTTCTTCCAGTCTCCTCTACTCTTCTGATAATAGTCTCTCATTTTACATCATGCAAAGCTTCATTCACTCACTCAACACATTTATTATGTGCCAGGGACGGCTGCGTGAACAAAACAAAGTCCATGCTCCATGAATCTAGTAGTTCAGAGTAGAGCCAATCAAGAAACAGACAGGAGCAGTGTTAGCTGGTGTGAACAGTAGGAGCTTTGGAGACAACAGAGTCAGCGGTAGGGAAACGTGGATGGGAGGGTGGCAGGGCAATGGGTGGCTCCTAGGACAAAGTGGTCAGCTGACATGAGGGACAACTAAGACAGGGTGAACAAGAAGTACAAGGACCCTGAGTTGATGCAGAGACACATCCCTTATAATTTTAAACACCAGATAAATACCATAGGCTTGGTATAGTGACACAACCTGTAATCCCAGCACCAGGGAGATGCAAGTAAAAAGATTTGGTGTTCAAGGCCATTCTCAAACATTGGAGCTAGAGAGATAGCTCAGTGGTTAAAGAATATTCATTGCTTTTGCAGAGGACCTGGCACATAACTATCCTTAACTTTAGAAGAGTGACAATACCTTCTTCTGACCTCTGTGTGCACCAGCAAGCGTGTGATACACTTATGTACATTCAGGCAAAACACTCTCACACACACAATAATATAAATAAGCCTGGAAAAACAAAAACCCAAACATAACCACACTACCAGCCCAAATCCAAGCTTAATGCACTTCATCAAAAACAAACACACAAACAATAAAAAAGCACTAAAATGAGGCAAAATCTCGACAACCAAAAGAGTTTTATTATACCTGATTGTTACGAGTAAATTACAGCTACCAGGAATGTAATGGTTGGTGGTTCCCTGTTCACCTTTCACTGCCTGTCTCGCTTGCTCATTGGCTTGTGGTGAAGATCAAAACGACACCATTAAAAAGGAAAGTTCCCCGCTTCTGGTTTCATTCCATACCGCAAGGTTACCAGTGATTTTTTTTTTTCTTGAGAATACAAATCAGTCACCACTTCCTGCTTAAGGCTCTCCATAGTGTCCCTGCGCATGAAAACAAAACTCAAGGCAACCAGGCGCAGTTCACAAGGCCAGCGTCACCTGCTTGATTCAGGCTCTCGCGTCGGGGCAGGATCTCATCCCAGCAGACTGGCCAGCACAGTGGCTCTCTAATTTGCGCCCTCTTGTCCACATAGTGTCCCAGGCAGGCTTTCCCGGTCTTACGACCTACAGGGGATAGGGGAAGGGAGCTGCAGCGTGTGTGGCCCCAGGCGCTCTCAACAGTCCTTCCGATCGCCTTCCTAACGAGATCGAGCAAATGCCCCCCACCCCAGTTTTCCCCTCCGCAGTAGGATCATGAGCCTCTCTAGGAGCGGTGAAGGCTGGAGAAGGTCAGCGCGGGCGTGTGGGCGGCCGAAGAGCTCCGAGGGACTATGTGGGACCCAGGGTTAGCCCGCAGACCCAGCTAGGGCCACTCCGGCCCCCCGCGTCATCCCGGAACGGCTCTTCTCGCGGACGTCGCCACGCCCGCACAGCTAGACTCTACGCTTCCCCAGGAGCCGGGCGCGCCGGCCCTCCCTTTGCGCAGGCGCGGCAGTGCGGGCCGCGCCTGCGCAGAGCTCCGTGCTGAGGGCGAGGCGCCGCGCGCGCGGCGAGGTGTGGGCGCGCGCTCCTAGCCACGGCGCACGCGCGGGTCCGCGCCGACTCAGCACGGCCTGAGGGCGCGAGCCCGCCGCCACCGCTACCGCCGCCGGCCGGACCGCCGTGCGCCGGGCGTGCGCGTGGGAGAGAGCGCGGCTGCCTGTGCCGGCGCCGCCCCGCCGCCGCCTGTTCGCCTCAGCCTCGCGCGCTCCGCGGCGGCCGGTGAGTGCGGGTCGCGGGGCCACGGGGTCGCGGTGGCGGAGGCGCGGGCTCAGGGCGGCGCGGGCCGCTGTGCTGGCTTCGGCGGACACGGCCCCCGCCGCGCCCTGGCCTCGCTCCTCGTCAGAGTGGCCGGGCCCTGAGGGCTAAGGAGGCCGCGGGCCGGGGGCCGGGGGCGGAGGGGGGAGGAGGCCGCGGGGTCCGGTACGGCGGGGGCGGGCGCGGCGGGGACCCGGGAGGCCCGAAAGCCGAAAAACAAAGGGGGGGTGGCAGGCGGAGTGCGGGGCAGCCGGCGCGTGGCTTCCCGGCGACCGTACGAACCCCGGAGTCATTGTGCTGCCCAAGTTCCCTCCGCCCCCACCCAGCCCCTCCGCGGCGCGCTGCCTGTCCCCGCCGGTCCTCGCCGGCTGCTTTTGTGGCCCCGCTCTGAGGAGCGAGGGTGTCAGTGCGCGCGCGCTTGTGCCGTTTAATTGTAGGGTTTTTTTTGTAGAGAATCGCACTGAGGAGAAAGTTGCTTTTTTTGAAAGCCGTTTCAACAGTGTCTCATTCTTGCATAGTTAGACTGCAGCTGGGTGTTTGGCATTGCGACTAAGATAATAGCAATACTGTAGTGGTTATGGGGACTGGTTGAAGTAGGTTGGAGCTGAAGGCGCTGCAAGAGTTTTAAATCTCGACCAGCGCTGGCATTTCTATTAGAATGGAACTTTACCATAGTTGTGATAATAGGCTATTGCCACTTGAAGTGAAATACCAGTGTATCGTGTGTGTGTGTGTGTGTGTGTGTGTGTGTGTCTGTCTGTCTGTCTGTCTGTCTGTCTTGTTTGCCTGTGTATAAAGTGAGGAATGAAATGTCTCTTGAAAGACACGTCAATGAGCAGTGACCTGGGACGGAAGTATGTGGATGCAGACGTGAAAAGAAATCATGTGACATTAGCATGCTACATACTTTTTGTGGAGGTACACTATAGATAATATTTCCATCCATGTGGTATTTAAACATGAATTTTTACTGGGGTTGGAATCCAGGGCTTCTTCTCGTGTGGCTAGTGCTGGGCTACTAAGCCACTTCCCCAGCCTAAACAGTCCAAACAGGAAACTTTAAGGACAAGGACGAGGAATCCCAGTTATCATTATGAGTGCAGTTGTCTTATGTTTGTAGCTATTGTAGGTGGGCCAATCCCTGGCCTTCTCTGAACACTTGAACTTATTAAAAGGCTGCAATAGTACATTTTTCCTGGAAAGAATTTTATTGGGACATCGTCATTTAATCCAATTTATTCATGATCTACAGGAAAAGGTGGCTTGTGTCTGGGAGGGGCCACAGCTGTCAGTACATTGTGAATCATCCAAAGAGGATGCCCGGACAGGTAAGCCCTTTTGGCTCAGAATCCATGGTGTGGTTCAGAAAGCGCTGGGGCAAACCCCCTAGAGTGGATGCGACCTCCTGTTTTTGAGGCTGGCAGCCCACTAAACGAGGAAGTGTTGGGGGTGGAGTCCCAGCTGTAGTGGTGAAGAGTGGGAGGAGGCTGTAGCGAGGACACTCGGTATATGAAGTAGTTTGGAGCTCTAAGCCTGTTGTTGGGAATTACATAATCGTCAGTCCTCAAAACCCTGTTCTGGAGCTGGTTAGATAACTCTTCTCACTAGGAAGTTGGAGAAATATCCAAAAGACAATTGTGGGCTGGGGAGTTAGTTCATTAGTTGTGTGCTAAATGATCGGTGGCATTAAGGTCCCCTCCAAAAGACAGTTGTGTTAAAGCTAGTTGCTTTAAAGATTATTGAGCCTGTGGAAGAAAGGATTTTATATTACATTGTATAATACAGTAAAACTAATTCTGAAAACACTCTTGGGATGTAAATTTGTGTAAGAGAAGTAGGATATTTGTTCATAGAAATTTTGAAGTGAACCCTTCTCCCTTATGGTGTCTTAATTTTGAGAGAATAATTAAAATTGAGTTACAAAAGATATGACTCAACATGTTAGTATAGTGTGTACATCTTTTTAGTTTGGATTAGACATTTTCAGTTTAGGTGAATTTTCACCTAGTTCATTTCTTGTTTTAAACTTCAGACACATTGAAAGTCAAAAAGTTTAAAATCAGTTGTGTGTGATGTGTGTGCAGGTTGGTGTGTGCCGGTGTGGAGGTGAGGGAACTGTGTGTACTCACTTGCCTTCCACTTTTCTGTGGGTCCCGGAGACTGACCTCAGATTGCCAGGCTTAAATACAGGCAGATGCTATTTCCTGTGGTGCCGTCTCACAGCCTACGGGTAAAGTTTTGCTGTATTAGTATTTGAAGTGATTTTTGTTGTTGGTAGTCATCACAATTGGAGAAGCAGATAGGGAATGTGGCCCAGTGGTAGAGAGCATTCATGAAGCCCTGGGTTTGGTCTCCAGCACTGTAAATGATCAAAATAACCAGACAATTTTGATTTCTGTGAACTTTGCTGTAAAACTTGGCTTCTACAATTTCTGAGTACATATTTTCATTACCATTTCCCCACTAAGATTATCAGCAATAAATTGCTGTTGGGATCTTTGAGGACTTTTACTGATTCCTTTAGAATTTACCTAAGATGCAAGAAATTTAAAAGGTGGGCAAATTAAGTGACTGTGGTGATACACTCTAGGCTGCTTAAGAGTGTAGCTACTTGTCAGGCACTAAGCCCCGTGCCTGCAGGCTCCTCTGGTTCTGAGGCGCACTGAAGTGTCTCACTAGACTACGTTGAGAAGATGTGTTTGACCACTGTCTCTGAACTGCACTAATAGTGGATATTTGATCTTTTTTGACTTTGTTTCTTTACATCATTTTGGCAGAAGTTTATTTTATATTGTGACTGTGAAAAGCAAGACAGCCTTGTGCAGAAGAAATTAAATTTATATATCCCAGTTTCTGGTACTAATTTCTAGGAATTGTGGCAGATTGTATTCAGAACTCCTTAAAGTCGTTGTGATTATAAAGCCTATAATCTGTAATATTTAAAAATTTCATTTGTACTGGGTTCTAGTATGGGATTACAATGTGGAGAAATCTGTGGTTCAGCTTTCAGTTTGAGTGGAATTTAACTGCTGTTGTTGTGTCTAATTTGCCAGCACACTCTTGGAAGTGGGAAATAGAGCTTGCATGAGTATACTGATGGCCCTGGAAGCCTGGGGGAGCATCACTAGTGTTGTTGCACAGTTTATGGTCATGAAGATGTTTCCTTACCAGCCTTAACATTAATTAAAGTAGTTCTGTGCAGACCTCACTGATGTGTATAGTCCCATTGCTGAAAAATGGCTGGAATAGTACTTGGAATGTGATCTTATAATAGGGGAGTGATTTTGTCACTGGGCCCGCATGTGTGTCACTGCTTTCTTTTGAAATATCAGAGAGGATCAGTACTCTCAATTAGATTTGATGCTCTTCCTTCCCAGTCCTGAGTCGGGGTTCTGCTTCAATTTTCTGTATCTATGAGAGCCATTGGGTTTCAGGTGCTATACCATCTTCAGTGTACACAGAAGACCTGGAGGTTGAAGTTAGAGTAACTTACTAGAAAGTTACTTGACCCATATGGGTAGGACTCAGGAAGTGAGCTAAAGTCACTCAGGACCTTTGGGTCTGGATACAGCTTAAGTAGTCTTCAGAATGTGAGTGATGGTGCCTGGATAGTTTAGATAACTAGGTTTTCTATTGACACTTTTCAGGACTTGAGCTTCTGACCTACACTGTGTAATAGGTTAACCATTGACTGTATCAAAACTTCGGTTATTTGGAGTCAGTTAAGAATTAGTTAAATACAGATACATAAGAGTGGGTTAGTGGTTGATGCTTCTTATTTGCTTTAGTGAGTGACACAGTATCAAGGCTTTTTGTGGGTAATTTTTCTTGGGTTATTGTGTCCGAGGGGAACAGTTTATGGAAAGCAAGGAAACCCTGTGTTTCTCTCAGAGGCATGAGCCCTCTGTAGAACCCCAAGAAATGGCAATTTTTTTTTTCGAGACAGGGTTTCTCTGTATTGTTTTGGAGGTTCTCCTGGAACTCGCTTTGTAGACCAGGATGGCCTCAAACTCACAGAGATCCGCCTGCCTTTGCCGCCCAAGTGCTGGGATTAAAGGCGTGTGCCACCAACGCCCAGCTAGAAATTGCAATTTTTAACACACTGTCCCTGTAAAGCAGTGGTTCTCAATCTTCCTAATGCTGTGATCCTTTAATACTGTTCCTCATGTTGTGGTGACCCCCAACCATAAAACTGTTTCATTACTACTTCATAACTGTAATTTTGTTATGAATCTGATCTGCAGGTCCCTAAGGGGGCTCAACCTATAGATTGGAACCACTGCTGTAAAGTTTTCTGAAGTGAATATACTCACCCCAGTTTGGAGTTTCCATCCTGCTTCTAAGACATGTTCTCTTCATTTTGGGGTACCACTGAACCAAAACCAAGCCTCGAAAGGACTTCAGAAGTTCTGCTTGTGGGTTGTCTGTGTCTGGGGTCTCCTTTCTGCCACAGTTCTGTTAAAATTCCTGTCATATTGTGACTTGGACTGTAGGCATTTGCAGTTTCTACTTTTACTTGACCAAAGTGCCATGTGATCATTTTTGTGAGTGATTTTTGCATGCTCTGTTCTTTTAGAGGATTCGTCCTCTAGGAAGACAGAGGTTCCCTTTTATTTCCCATCGCACCCCAGTGTCTATCACATAGTCTTGTTGAGTGACTGGAAGAACCCAGGTGTCTTACTTATTGTAGAATTGGGTCACTCAGATCTACTGGAATCAGGAAAAATGCTGCTCTGTCTGTCATTTGACAGTTTTGAAAGTTTCTTTCTTTATAGAAATTGGTTTTATAGGAATTAGTCTTATACATTAGGATTAACTCAGGTTTGATGGGAGCAGTTGTTCAAAATGATGCAGAATGACTGGGTTTTAGAAAGGATCCATGCCGAGAGTATTGGTTAGTGATAAAGCACTTGCCTAGTGTGTGCAAGGCCCTAGGTTCAATCCCTAGCACTTCAGAAAATAACATGAAAAAAAAATAAAAGAACATGTGATTCTCTGGGATAGTCTGTGCTAATCAGCTGGTTTCATTGTATACTTTTTCAAGGGCTTGACATATCCTACAGCTGTGTAAAGGAATGTGGAAGTTATATTCTGTACAAGTGTGTCTGTGACGTTGCTCATAGTCTTTCACAACATGGATGCTACCCAGGTGTAATGTTTTGATGGCAGGTGACAGTGCCCTCACAGGTAAGGGTATTTGGGTACAGAATCTGATCTAGAGGTTGTTGTTTGGTCTTTCTCAGCGAATGCTTCCCTCAGCATTGTTGTATCATGCAGAGGAAACTCACAGGTGAACACTCCAGCCCCTGCTAGGTCTTTTACTATTTTCAAGTGGTGACATCATAGAAACATTACCTTCATCTAGAACAGTGTTTCTCAACCTGTAGGTCTCAAACCCCTTTGGGGGTTGGACAACCCTTTCAAAGGAATCGAATATCAGATAGATATCCTGCATATCAGATATTTACATTATGATTCATAATAGCAAAATTAGTTATGAGGTAGCAATGAAAATAGCTTTATAGTTGGGGGGGTCACCACAAAATGAGGAACTTGTATTAAAGGGTCACAGCATTAGGAAGATTGAGAACAGTGACCTATAGCCTTATATGACTGTGAAGTAGCCTTGAAGCTTAAGCTTGCTGTCTGGGAACCCTGAACACTAAGGTTGTGACTCTCTGCTTTAGAGCAGTTTGAAATACAGGTTGTGATTTGAGATACGTGTATGCTGATGAGCTTGCTCTCCTTGTTTTGGGATTTGTGGCTATTTTTACTTTTTTTCAGAATCTTGAAAACACCTCTCAACCATTTTTTATTTTTCATGTTTAAGGCTTAGACTATCGTCTTTTGAGCCTTGATTTGGAATTTTAATGAACAATTTGCATTGAAAGAGAAGTTTGTGTGACTCCTGGGTGTGTGTGGCTTTTGGCAAATAGGAGAGTGTACATGTTGGTACTTCAGGCAACGTTAAGTTCCTTGATGCTTTTGTTTTGGTTTGAAAAGTTGGATGGCATTTACTAGTGTTAGAGTGTTTGCCAAGTCTTTGGGTGACTAATGAAGCAGTATTGTTTGATTTTAGGCCTAGCACTGAATTCATATGTAAGCTTAATTAATCCATCTATTCCTCATCTTTCCTCCTCTTCTCCCCTCTTTCCACTGTCCTTCCTCCCTTTCCTCCCTCAATCCCATTTTCTTCCTGTCTTCCTCTCTGTTGTCTGACTTCCGAATTCTCTGTGCTGACATTGCAGCTACACTTTGATGAGTGTATTTTTGACCCCCACCCCACCTTTTTTCTTTTTGTTTAGATGAAAGGCTAAATAAAAGTTTA